GGTATATACACAATTACATTCCGAACAACTCTACTTAGACACAAAATACAAGTGTCTTAGTAAAAATAAAAGTTATTAACTAAAAACTATTTAACGATTTTTGAATCAAACCCGATCCGAACAGAGCTTAGTAAGACCTCTCTAAATACACCCTCTATAAGTACACATCCTCCTTAAATACATCCTTTTGCCCAGTCCCAATCTGGATCATAGTGCTAAATGCACGCCCTCTATATTCTACACATGCAATGAATTTTCTGATCCCATTATATTTGAAGTTCTCTCCGTAAGTGCACAGCAAGTGACAAAATCACATGCATCCAATGAAAATTCGATTAGTGAACAGTTTGAAAAGCTTTATTGGATTGATCGACTGCAACAGTCTTGATGTAAATTAACAATGATGTGAGATTTTACTACTGCAGACATTTATGAATTAAAATTTTAACAATATGATGTATAATTACATTATATAATACATAATTACATGAGCTTAACTCTAAATTCTTTAAGTGCACATCCTCTCTAAATGCACACTCATAGCTGGTTCTGAGAGGGTGCATTTAGAGAGGTTTCACTGTATTTAGATTATAATTAATATATTTATATAAATTTTTATTACATATAAACAAAAATAAAAAGTTTATTAATTAATAACTTTTTGAATTTGATTACTTTGATTTTTTTATATAATAATTTATAGTCATTTTTTGTAAATTTTATATAGTAAAAAAATCAAATTTTTAAACTTTAAAGCTTAATTTCTCAATAACTGGTGATTCAATTTTGCTAAAATTTAAAATATACATTAATGCACTTGCTTAATACAGATTTATAAAATTGCATATTCACAGAAAAAAATATTAAATATCTATTTTTTTAAAAAATTCAAAAAGTTTTGTCTTATCTATTATTTTATTAAAAGATAATAAAATAATAAAAATAATACAAACAATTAGATTAAAACATACTTTTAATAGTGTAAAAAATTATAAACTTATAATTAATAAATTTATAATTGATATATTTTATAATTATAATTAAAAAGTTTTACTTTTACTTTTGGTGTATCAACATTTTTGCACTGGACGGACCATATAAAATATTTAGGATCTACAAGTGTCAGTTTGTATGTTCCGAATGAAGGTAAGTTACTTTTTAATATTTTTTCAAAAATACAATATCATTATTAAAAATACTTGTTTACAACTTTAGAATATGTGACTACTGAATTTAATATAGATATTGATGCCGAGTCTACAAGTAACAGTTTATATGTCAGCTGTGCACAGTAATGATTATTAGTTGATTATACAGTCAACTGCAAAAGTATCCGACCCCCTAACTTTCCGTAGATCATGTGTAATGCATAAAGCTCTGTTCGGGTCGGTTCGGGTTTGAGGTCAACCCGAACCGATAATTTCGGGTCAGGTCGGATTCGGATCAGGTTTGATCCAAAAATCGTAAAATAGTTTTTCGTTCATAACTTTTATTTTTACTAAGACACTTGTATTTGGTGTCTAAGTAGAGTTGTTCGGAATGTAATTGTGTATATACCCACAAATTTTTGTTTAATTCCAATTAATATTGAACGAGAAATAACGTTTTTAGGCTGATCCAAAATATTTCGGGTCGGATTTGACCCTAATCCGACCCGATCCGAAATGTGCGTTCCGAGTCGGGTCACGGATAAGACCGACCCGGTTGGAGCACTAGTAATGCACCAAATTTTTCCGAGTACAAAGAACATTACAAATGCTGATCATTGATACTTTTTATAGGTAGGTATAGTTTCTATATCGGGTATTGTATGTTCATAAACTTTCATGCCCAAAATACAATGAATCGGTCACTTTAGGACAGTGTTGTACATTTTGGATGTCCAAGCACTTTTTCGACTGTCCAAATGTCCAAACGTCCAAATGTCCAAGTGTCCAAACTCTTATACTGTTAAAAAATCAAATAAAAAATATATGCTTATATACAACGAGAAATTCTAAACATTTTTAATTAGAGTGTCCAAACAGGTTATTTTAATAAAATTTTGTGTAAATTTGATTTTTTTTTTGTCAAAAATGTCCAAGATTGTCCAATGGCATGTCCAAAGCTGTCCCGTGACAACACTGCTTTAGGACATAATATCTCGATGTCTAGTGATTCAATTTAAGTAATAATATTACCATTCGATTTGTCTAATCTGGGCAAATCAAATGGTGGTATCATTACTCAAATTGAATCACCGGAGGTCAAGATATTACGTCCTAAATTGACTGATTAATTTTTGTTAATGTCAAAAAAAATGAATCTACTACTTTAAGACGCAATATTTCGACGTCCAGTGACCAAAAATATTACTGTTCGATTCGCCTCGACTAGACGAATCGAATGGTAGTATTTCTGTTCAAATCGGGTCACTGGACGTCAAGAATTAAGTTATTGGATATTGAGATGTGTGTTATGAAATAGCTGATTATATTCGTGACGTGAAAGTTTATGAACATACAATACCCGTTATAGAAGCTCTACTAACTATAAAAAGTATCAATGATCAGCATTTGTAATGTTCTTTGTACTCGGTGTTTTACACACGATCTACGGAAAGTTAGAGGGTTGGATACTTTTGCGATTGACTGTAAATTTCGTTTATACGTCTCTTGTTTTATTTTATAATATCAGCATATGTCTCGCGCGTGTTTGATATTTGTATCGAGAATGATGGAAAGATACTCCAAAAAAATTAATACTCAACACAACGTAAGCTTTTTTTTATTAACAGCAATGAATTCTCAACTTTTTAAAGAATAATTTGATTTTCAATAAACAGAACATACTAAACTTTTTATTCCATATGTACATTATCAGAAGAAGCCAATATTGTTATTCCGACTGGTTCAATCGAGTTTGTTTTTGGTGATGATTAGTCAATCAAAAAATGACTCTAACGGGCTTTAATTAGAATTATGATTATAATAATGCAAATAATAATTCAAATAACAAAAACATAATTATGTTTTTTCTAGTTAAAAATGTAAACAGTTTTTTTCAATTACAAGCCTAAATTATAACAATGCCCTTTCTGGTTCAAAGGTCATAACCAGCAAACAAAAGTATAATATTTGATAATCAGGATTTTTACAAGTTTACTCTTTGTATGAATACAATTTTAATGAATACAATTTTAATGAAGTAAAAATTATGTAAATTTTACATAGCTAAAGTGTAAGTGCAGCATGTAAAATGTAAATTTAACCAAGTAAATTGTAAGAAAAAATATAAAATATTTATTTTTAGAATACATGTCTTAGTTGATACGAATTCGCTGTCTATAAATAATCAAAAGAAGGAATGTCTGTAGTAAGAATATCGAGGAAAGAGAGTAAATGAAAAGTCTCACTCGGCCATTCAGCCGATTTGATTCACACAATAAAATTTCTTTTGTCAATTTGGCGTCGCTAGAGTTTTATTCAATTGATTGGGTTTTAGAGATTACATAAACAAATGGGCGTTTATTAAATATAAACTGTGTATCACGAGCTCACAAATTTTTAGTTTAAACGTACAATCCGTGAAATTGCAAAAAAATACCGACAAGACGCAAATCTCGATCCTCCCCGTTGCCACACGAGTATCAATTGATACGCGAGAATTTGTTGACAGCCAGAATCATTAAACATCACTTATTTTCGATTTCGAAAAATGGCCTAAATTAGCGACAAAAGGTACAAGAGAACAAGGAAATTGTTTTTGTTTGCAACTCATCTATGATCGACAATAAATTCTGTTTTTGATTCTATCGCTATCGTTAATATTAACGTTAATAAATTGATTGAATTGGTAAAGTACCGAACATGTATGTATACGAATTTTTATTGGTTGCTCTTTGTGAATAAATCGAAACGATTGATCTAACGTTAAATGAAAACAAAATCTACTGCGTTTCAATCTTGTATACGTATCCGGAAATTTGAATACGTACAAACATTCCTTTTTTATGCAAGCTGATAAATTTTGTACACTTAAATTGTTCCGGTAACGATTATTTTTATTAAATTTAACAACACAAAGAAATTTTTTGTGCTTGTTTCCAATTACCAATTTTAAATTTTGGGATAAAATTTATTCATTTATCAATAATAGAGGGTGATATTGTTTTTAGCATCCATATTATGAAGACTCATTGACCATAAACAATTGAGCACTCTCTGCATCATTCGCTGCGGCAACTTCATCTTCATTCACCACAAGCGCTTGCAAATTATGTGCTTCTGCAGCTTGTAACTGCGCGTCAAATTCACTTTCGACGACAAAAACGATCGGTGCAACAGTTGCTGGTGCTGGTTCGGCAGCGATAACAGGTGCTGCTGCGATGATTCCGAAATTAAAGATCAAGGAAATAACGAATAAGAAAGAAGCTTTGAAATACATTTTTGGATTTTCTTTTGAATCGAGCAATTGGTTATTTATTTTTTTGTTGAGCACTGAATGTAGAGAGTTTATGCTGTACTTACTACTTATATGTTATATTTCGAGTCAATGTGCATAGTATTTGATAGCATGATGCCAATCTCCTAATCGCAAGAAATATCATTATGCAATTGATTGCTTGAATCGAGATAATTTGTTGTTCTAAGGAAGCGAATAAGCATTTTCTTTCGAAAATAATCTATTGAACTCCCATTATTTAGATAAATATAGAAAATTTCAAAAAAAATATAGATGTTGCTTATTAATTTGATTTTCTATACCAATTAATTATCGTTATATACATTCCATTAATCAATGACGACGACGTTAATGAAAAATTCTTTATGATGCATACTCTGAAATACTAGAAACGGATTACGTATTCTAATCGCACACAAATAAGGAGCACTTTTTCACTAAAATGGTCGATCGTCCGATAGCTCTTTGTTGAAAATCAGCTTATTCTGGTTTAACTCTCATCGAGATCGAGAGGAAGAAAAGATAACGATCTTGAAGAACACATTGGAATACCAATAATAAACAAAATTTAAATTTTTTTTATTAACTGCAGCCAAACCTTCGAAACCAATTATTGGTTAGTCAAATGAGATAATACGCAATGAATCTTATAAATGGAAATAATGACCAATTGCCTCCTTTACTGCATATTGGTGATATCTCCGTAGTAATCATCAACAAAATCAAGTTGATTAATAATCTTAAATATGTACAGTACACGTATATATAAATGCATGTAATCGTTTATGAACGAGAGCAAGATCACTAAGAATTAAATCTTTTCTCTTAAAAACAAAAAACGCAAGAATTTCTTTGTTTCTTTACATAAACTTGCTTGATTAATATCATACTTGATAATGGACAAAATAGAAACAAACCATTTTCACGATAATAACACCTTCAACGATAATTCAAATAACGCTGAAAAAACCAAGTTGAATTTTGCTAAAAAAGAAGCCAAACGGTCTTTTATTTTCATTGACGCCACCGACAAAATTAATCCAAATAGTGTAATCACTAAAGGAGACGTCAATCCTGCCTTTAGACCCCCGTTTCCTCCTTTACTCGATGATAATGATTTGCTTATAAAGAGACTTTCGAAAAATAGAGGAGGTAAAATCGACAAAAAACCAGTTAAACCTCCAAATGCGTTTATTATTTATCGACGCACCTATGTTAAAGCAGCGATAGCGGAAGGATATAAATTACCAATGACTGTCATATCCACTATGGCCTCACAGGCTTGGAACTACGAGCCGCCGGTGGTTAAAGCTGAATATAAACGAATCGCAAAAAGTGTGAGGCTTCAACATGATATCGAATATCCAAAATCTATCCCGAAACAATCGAGAAATGATCGCAGTGCAACAAAATCAATAGAAGCTGCAAAAAATAATAATGATTCATATGAACTAAATGAACAATTTAATTCATCTACCGAGTCTTTGTCTTCGCCTTCATTACAAGATTCAGATTTATTTACATCACCACCATCGTCGACACTTGTTGATTTCGACTTTTCTGATCTTAGTTTTGAACCAATTGATTCGCTACCAAATCAGCAACAAGATCAGGATAAATTTATTGATTTCGTTTACGACGAAGACTTTTTTGCTCCTAATTTATTCGAATTCGAAAAGTTTATTAATTCAAGTAAAGACAACAACAATAATTACATTAATACTGAAGATATAAATTTAAACTCTGATGTGTCATTAATATCTAAAGAATCTTCAGTAGAACAGTCGTATAAACAAATTTCTTCAATATCGAAAAGGTCGTCGAAGCTCGACGACCTTGAGATCTCTTACCAACTGAACAATCTAAATAATCATTCATTCAATGAACAATATGTAGCGGCTGCTGATTGGCTTCAATTTATACCGTTCTAAGAATTTGACTTTTCTTGCGATTCAAATCTCGAAAAATAAATAATTGGATTTTTTAATTATATAATTTGTTTAAAATGATAACAACTTCAATCATGTAAAAGCTACCAACCATATTTAGGAAGATTTAATCCGTAGTTAGCGTTAGCGCGTTAGATCATAAACTACGGATTATTTGTTCATGTATTTTAAGAACAGATGTATTATGTAATCAGCAATATATGTTTTGATAAATCAACCATTTTTTATGCATATGTATAAATATGGTGAAGGCTAAAAAATTCTGTCGCTAAAAATTCGCCGCAAGAATATGTACTTCTTATGGCAAAATCAAGTTTAGAAAAATAAAGTATTAGCTCAGATACAAAAAAATTATAGTCTGTATTCAATCTTAGAAAGACATGTGACAATCATAATATAAATTGTATCAAATTTTCTTGACAAAGCGAGAACTTGATTTAACTTTACTCTTTAAGATGTATCCGATTTTCCGGGTATAAGGTTCACCCGACGGGTATTTGATCCTGTTTAAATTTTGGATCGGTTAAATCCCCCGGTTATCTATCTGGTTTAGTCGGAAACCGGATGATAATAATATCCGGCTGTCTGTTACGAAAGGTACTTCAGAGAAAGCACTTGAACATTGTACAGTAAAATCGGTCTGGTCAATCGATAAAAACTTTATTTATTGCAGAACTGAGTTTGAATCGCCCCAATTAATTGTAATTAGTAGAACTACAGTATCATAACGATCAATATTCGCTATACATACAATGAATGAAATTTTCTGCATATTAAATTAATTTTGAAATGAAGTAACAAAAGCACATTTTTTTTCTTAAATATTTATTGAACTTATAGATGTAATTTCATCTCTGTAATACATGTACATGTACGTATGTTGTTTGACGAGCTTAGAGAAATAGAGCTGTCTGAAATCTGTTGTGCAATGCTGTGGTATGCAATACAGCTTTTTTCATCTTCTGAACAGTAAGCAATAGATAAAACATCTATCTATTGTAGTGCTCCGAACGGGTTGGGTTAATTATTGGTCCGAAAGAAACACGGTTTTGACCTGCGGGTCACTCAACTACGTATTGTTCTTCAATAATACATGTACGTACTGCCTGTTGATGTGTCACCAATCGAAATTGAGGTTTGTTATCATTATCATTATCATTTTCATTACCATTCAGATAGCTTTCTACGCTTTGAGTTATACATACGTATGTGACCAGACTCGGTCCGAATTGATTATTCAATGACCCGACCCCGTTCAGGTGGATCAACACGACTCGTTTGGAGTATAGCTCCAAGGGGACCGATGTCACAAGTTAAACTAATAGTATTGGTTTTCACCTAAACCAGACATAGTGTAGATGAAATAGACGTCATAACAATAATAATATATGTAATAAACAATTTTTTGATTATCTATTTTGAAGTTGCCATCTTTCTTGCTTGATTTTCTGGTTTCTCTTTCGCTTTGATTTATTTGTGTCGTTTTCTTCGTGATTGGATTTGCGGTGGTTTTGTTTTTTATTCCAATTTAGACTGAGTTTCAATTGTATTGATGCTATTGAATTTCGTAAAATGCTAAATTTCTGAGCATTTATATCATAGTTATTAGGATTCTTCATTCGCATTAACCAACATAAGGTCGTGAAAAAAATTAACGGTAAAAAAAATTATGATAATATCGCACTTCTGATTGGTTCGCCGCAAAAAATTTGGCTGTTGCTACATACAACAATTAAAGTTATAAAAGCCTTCTTTTTTTGGCGTTCTGTCTCATTTTTCATGCATGTTATTGTTGCGTCTACCCCTAAAATTATTTGAGTTAAAGAGGTTTTCACAAATATGAGCAAGACTGAATAATTTACGGATAAGGGGATTCTTTAAGCGTTCTAAAGGTCTCCTTGGCAATTTGTACGCAAATTGTCTCAACAAAAATCAAAATAAAATAAGATAATAAAATCAACAAAAAAATAAAGTAAACACACAACAGGACTTATTGATACGGTCTGGACAAAGAAAAACTCAAAACCAAAATAAAATAAATTAACAAAATATCAATTCAATAAAATCAACAGCTCATTTAGAGTGGAGGAGAATCACTTTGCTCACAAAATTTGATGACGATCAAGAAAATAATAGTGTATTCACGAGTAATATTATTATTACAAGTAGGAACTTTGTTATTTTATTTGATCAAAGCATGTCTTCTCAGAGACTCAAAAACACTTACGTATCTATATACAGTTTCGAATTAGATGCACTACGCTAATTATAAGGTTATTATTTTACATTGATTGTTTCTCTTGAGGCTTTCTAAAACAATTAAGAATTATCATTTGATGTCTTTAATTGTCTCCCGATTGTCTAGGTAATCGTTATCCTCTAGTACGTATCGGTATTCCTGTGACATTTTTCATGCATAAATCGATACAAAAGTGAACGACGACTTTCACACATATAAATACGTAAATCATCGTTTTTTAAATAAACTCAAAGATGGCTTCGAATACTCATGATTGTAGTGAATGCGGTTATTGTCAAGACAATGAATTCAACTACTGCAAAGTGTGTTCAGTTCACAATATTTACGATTGTCGTAATTGTTGCGATTGTAAACAATGGGGTTACTGCGATGAGTGTTCAGTTCACAATATTCATGATTGTAGTAAATGTACCGATTGTCAAAATAATGAGTACTGTGAGGGATGTTTTTTTCAATCTAATTGACTTTTTCAAAATTAGAGATGATTCTAAACAATGATAGCGATAGAAAATCAATTCATCCCTCCCAAACCCGAAAACGTCGTTTGGAGTCAACAAGTACAATTCCTAATCATATGCTAAATAATTACATCAATTATAATGAAAAATGAGAAATCTAGATAGAGATATCGAATTTGTGCCGTAAGTTACGTACACTAAAAAATTCGTTAGAGAAAGCTTGAATACTACGTATTGAAATTAAAGTGAGAAAACTTAATATCAATAAAGTGTGATGATGATTCTTTTTAGCAGGTAATAATGATAATATTAATAAGTAATTAAAATGGTAAGTAAATTATTAGAATAATTTGCTTCTTTTATGTGTAGTGAACTTACTGATTCCAACACTTTTTTCTCTTATATTACAGACCATTACTTTGTCACAAGCCAAGCCCACAATGAACATGTCTAGTGGTAAGCGGGAAGAAGTCGTCATGTCGCAGTAGTCACCAGCAAAAAAAAACTGTCACAACAACGCCTCTATTATAATAAAAATAAAAAGCTAAAGCGAGAACAGAAGCATGTTGAGGTATCTCGTGAACCAGAAGATGACATACCACTCCATCTGCCAAAATTGATATTGTTTTTGATCCGTCTAAGGTATACTGTATTTATTTGAGAGGGGGTATTGTTACATTATTATGCCAAATATAGTATTTTTTCATCCAAGTTATTTGTTGTAAGTTTGCTTCAACAAGTTGTGGGATGCAAACAGATGCATAATTACTATTACTCCGGCTGGCCCGAAATAATTCGGGTCAGCCTAAAAATCGTTATTTTACGTTAAATATTAATTGGAATTAAATGAAAATTTGTGGGTATATACACAATTACATTCCGAATAACTCTACTTAGACACAAAATACAAGTGTCTTAGTAAAAAATAAAAGTTATTAACGAAAAGTTTCATAGACTAGATTTTGTTTATTTATTTTTGAATTTTGTGTTACAAGTTGATATTGCAATTTAATCGGTCATCATCGCTGACATTATCAAAAAATTGTCACGTGGCTCGAAATTTCGGTGGTCGTCCTGGTGGATTCCATTTCAATATTTGATTTTTTTATTATAAAAAATATATAAAGTATGTCAAGAAATACAGAAAATGTGTTATTTGATAATGGAAATATAACTATAAAATAAAATTTTTTGTGTTATTTTAAAAATAATTGATCAAAGTATATTTAATAATCTAAAATGCAGCTTAAAATATTAGTTTTTTTCAAAATAATACTAATACTAGTTTAAAAGTAAACCAAGTGTAATAACTTAAAATTAAACATGCATAAATAATAAAAAATTATTTGATTTATATTATTTTTAATATTTTAAGATTTTGTTAATTTTAACAACTAGATATAATTATCAAGCAATCTGGTATTAATTCTTTTAAAATTGCTTCTTTAGAAAGTTATACTTAAAATGCAACTTAAATTAGAACTATTTTTTTTATAAAATCACATGATTATGCACAATTAATTATATACTTTTGTTCAGCGAGCCATTCATGCGGAGCATTTTGTATCTATAATGAAAGAAAAATTGCCAGTTAAAGTGCACAAAAGATATTAGCCATGAGATTATGACAGGAAATAAAGTTCATTTATGCGAAGCGATCCGTCTTTATTGCGGTGCTCCATATTCATTAAAGGCTGATACTCAAAAAGGAAATTATAAATGTCGTAATACTTGTATACATGTAGTATGTTGCCTCTTGTTTTGAATATTCGAGTATATATGTTGAAATGCCATATTATATTTTCGTATAATTGAATAAATTCCTTGTGAAGTGCACAAATGTGAGAATGAAGTTTGGCCAATCGAATGCCCAATAGCCACATGTCGTCGAAGATGCGAAAGCCGAGAACATTTTCATGCATAGAGGAAAATGTGGATCATTTTTGCAGGTCTGTAGTTTTCATTTATTATTCTCTTTATGAAAATATCTGATTCTGCTTCGAAAACATTTAATGAAGAGCATCAGTGCCCTAACGAATGCGAAGAATTAGGAATTTGTAAAATTGTCACTGAGTCAACTGCGATAGTAAAGAAAGGAGCAGAATATGTGAATAAATTTGGCAACTTTATGTTACTAAAGTAAAAAAATCTTTCTTTTTTTACCGAGCCCTTTATGTATAATTAATGGTACTAAACATCATTTTAAAAAAAATAATTTAGTATTCTCAAACCTTAAATGACGTCCTTGTTGCATCAAAATATCTCCAAGTGAATTCAAGCATGAAGAGAAACATGTACATGAGGCCACGAAAATGCATGAATGTAATGCAACTTGTCCAAATGATTTGGTTGAACACGTTATTGAAGAGAATAAAAAAAATCAAAACCTTCATTATTGCGATGTTGAATTTTCAATTTGATTCGAAGTATTTTAAAAAACGTGTTAATTTATATTCTTCACTAATAAGTCGGTTTTTATTTAGTGTACATTACCCTATGATCACGGAAGGTTATATCATAGTGAACATAGTAAAAAATAAGAAGTCTTTGATTGATTCTTATCATTCTAACTAAATTAGATAATTCTTAGACACCGTTCATGGAAATATGCTGTTGACAACATTCACATGTGAAGAAGAAGAAGAATTTGAAGGTAAAGGTTTACCTGTTCACTCGTGAAAATGATAAATTTTAATTGAATAAATTGTTTTTAGTATATCGATTGACTGTCGGCGATAGAGGCGATTTTGTGTTTTGTCATAAGGCATGTATATTCATGTATATTGAGAATTTTCCAACATAAGGAAACTAAAAATTAATTCTTAACTTTTAGCTTTTTGAAAATATAGGCCGTCATCGTCATATATATTATTGCAAAGACCCAGCTGTTTGCGGAAGTCTCGCTGGTGGAAGAAAAGAAGGGATATTGGAGCACGTAATGGGTTAGTTTATTTAAGATTTTGTTTTATCTCGCAATATAATAATGCAAGTTAGCTTCAGCAAATATAAGTCCTAACACGGAAAAAAAAGGCGAGATTCGAATATCTCGCCATTGAAGAATTATCGGCGACCAAAAGAAAGTGAATTTTATTCATTAGAATAATAATAATCACTTAATTTTTATTTCTATCTATCTTTTAAATTAAACTAACCTGAATTTTTAACTTTTTTTAGCATTCCGTATTATGCATTAGCCAACATAAGATCGAGGAAAAAAATTAACAGTAAATTAAAAAATTAGGATAATATTGAACTTCTACATACAACAATACGTTCTACATGTATTTCAGAAAATAATCGAAATCAGTAAAAAATGATAATGTAATAGAACAAAATAATCTTGGTTATTGTTATCGATATGTCAGAAATGATTAAGAAGTGAATCAGCGAAGTGTGAATGCTCAATAAAACAAGGGTAATGTATAAAAAACATTCTTACCTAAAGAGTTAGAATTTGAATATCTTTCATCCAACTCTAGTTTATCTTTCAGTTCTTAAAAACATAGAAAAATTTGTCATGGTTCAAAGCTAGCCATTTATAAGGTAATCTTAAAGATAAAGATCCTATTTAAATGAATTTATACTTATAATGACTTTTACTAAAGGATGCACTAAAAAGTGATCATTCACAATAACACCTTAATATAGTTATCATATCACAACCTTATATCAAATTAGTGATTTAAAATACTGCGAATATTATAAGTTTTTCAGGTTTGAACAAAAAATTCTTTTTGAGTTTTGAACAGTCAATATACACTAACTCTTTCTTTACATAATAAGGATGCCTTACCTGTCTAAGAAAAGCAACAAATAACTGCTGCATTGGAGGCGAAGGATGAAAAAATATCATTAAGAAGATGAAGTATCATAGAGAATTTTTGGATGCAGCTAAACGATATACACATGCGAATTGTGACTACATCTGGAAGTATTGCAAAATACTGTCCCAAGAGGGTTGTATTCTGTGTCTTTGCCAACCATCCAGCTTCACAGAAAATCTTTTCGTTACATGGAGATATATATATCATCTATCGTATAGCGCTTACTACAGTCCCCCCTGGTGAAGTATCTTTTATAGTATGAGTGTATTATTCAACTCCGAGTGCAGATATTTTTGAATAGTGCCCGGGTACTAATCAGACACCTGATATCATAACATTATCAATAAAGGGATCCAATAAAATCGCGATTTTATTGGAAACTTTAATATAGACAAAAAATATCGCAATACCAAAAAGATCTTTGTCGTTAATCTTACTGTAAATCACAGTTTATAGTACCTTACGAAGTACTTCTCTTATAGTATCCCCCTCCTCACACAGTATCCCCGGGTACTATTCAAGTTAGTCTGTGATATTTTGAATAAGACCGGGGATACTGTAGTAAGCGCTATACGGTAAAGGAAAGGCTGCTGAATATGCAGCGAGAAAGTATCAGTCACATAGAAGAGTTCCAGACTCTGTATTTCATAATATCGCCACTCTTTACATATACATGTATAGACTAACAATAAATAAATGATGGCATCGATATAGATGTATGTTTCTGACAGCTATTTAGTTATTAGAGATTATTAAATTCATGATAAATTGATATTCCATATTAATCATTACAATTTAAAATCATATATGATGGTAGCGCCTACGCCGTTTAGATTCAGCCAATCAGATCGCTTCTAATATAATCACATGATCGTTTCAGAAATTTGAAACAAGATTATATGATTGGCCGTCTTTCCTGATCTCGCCTATTTTGAGAAATGCTCAATCATTTTATCGCTTGTGGAGTTACTTGACAATGATTGGATATAAAGTGTAGAGTATTGTTGTTGCTACTTTCTTGTGATAATTTCACCCTAAACGCGTCTGTAAATGGTTTGGCGGCTAGTAATGAAATAAGTTTCAAGTATTTTGGATTTTTCTCTTCCTTAAAGCTTTATAATCTACTCCTGTCAGTTCAATTACAAATGTCGTTCATGTAACTTATAAGTGACTTAATAATTTTCAATCTTTGAAAAGAGTGAAGTAAAGTGTTTATCACGGATTAAGAACGTGTTATTGAACGTTTCAATGTTGTTGCTGCTGATTCTGTTATTCATCTGATTTAGACTTTTATTGAATCATTGTACAATTTTGTATGAAAGAGAATAATTAATATTCTTTCTTTATGAATTGCTTGTATAAAAAGAAAAAACGTAGAGCTTCCGATCCGGGCAAAATAATTATTGAGAAAATGGATGGGAGTTTTTCAGAAGTTGAGACATTAGTTCTACCTAAATTTTCTTGATATTTCATGTAGTTATAGAACCGCATATCAGTAATTCATATTCATCCAATAAACTTTAAATTTCCTAGCGCTACCGGTAATTATATAAGCACGCAAAAAAAACCAAAAATAAATAATAATTAATTTAATTGAGATGAGTTTGTTATGTAATAATGAATTACATGTATTAAGGACCAAAACATTCAAATAAAAGTAAGTGTAAATGCTGTACGAACTTAGAATTCCGTCGCAAAAAAAAATTCCTTTTATTAAAGGAGACTTACAAAAAAAGGATACCCGAAATGATGAAAGTCAGCATGCATAATACGGTATGTTGTGTATGCAGGATTAATTTTAACTAACGCCGCTAAGCAATGTAAATATTATCGTTATATACGTAAAAAAATACGACAGAGGAAATTGTACCCTGTTGTGCCAGGAAAACTCTTGGCACGCACTTTTTTTTGGTATGGTACGTACATACTTTTGCTGTTTTGGAAGTCAAAAAGTGATTATCATAAATCACAGTTTTACAGAATACACGATGCAAGCGATGAAATATACTTGATGAATCAATGAAAATCACCAACTATTGCTATGAAAAGAAAAAGGATGTTGTAAAAAGAATTTCCTCATACCGATACTTTGACAAATAGATGTGTTTTGCGCTGTCGATTAATGTCACCGTATTTGCATCGAAGGTCGTAATTGATCGGCGTCGGTCATGATCTTAAGGATTGGTTGGCCGAATTCGGTTCACTAACCTCGATTTCTTTGTGGTACAAATTAAAAATTAACATTTGCACCAATAATCATTACTTACATAATTACATGTGCCTAATTTTTTAAAAATCGACTAGAGTTTAGAAATTCAATTTTGTATTTAACTAGCACTTTAATATTATCTCGTTAATATTAACTAAACTCTTTTTTTAATCAAGCTTCAAAAACAAACATTCATTTATACATATTCAAAAATTCAAAAATGGGAAATCAACATTCACGACAATCAAGACAATCAAAACGACGACGCTTTAAAGAAACTTCCAGCATATGCTCTAATGAATATTCGCCAAGTTCAACAGATTCGAGTTTTCGTTACGTGGACGGCCGGAAATTTCATCAAGATAATTTTTCTATACTACCAGTTGACGAACCTGAATCGATACGAAACGAAACACAACAAATCGTGGCAAAACTTATATGGCAAGGGAATTTCTCTTCGCCAATTGAAGATCATTTAAAAGCTGGAGGGTTACAAATACTGGATATTGGGTAAGCATCTATCAAGTCTTTTATCTTGTAATAATAATAACTTATACCGGTCTCTAACTCGAATAATCATGTTAGATGTGGTCCAGGAACATGGATGATCGATATGGCCAAAACATATCCATTATGCTCATTCACAGGTGTCGATATTTCTCCACTTTACCCCTTTAATGAACTACCAGAAAATGTTGAATTTATACAAGCCAATCTGCTTGACGGCCTGCCAATTGAAAATAGCAAATTCGATTTTGTGGTCATGCATTTTTTGACAATACGACAATGGAAACCAATAATCAAAGAAGCTGCTCGTGTTATGAAACCTGGAGCATGGCTTGAGTGGATGGGTTATGATCCAACTTTAAGAAATCAAGGAGAAAATACGAAAAAATTAAGACAATCTTGTAAGTTGTTTAGACTGATGACTAAGAAGTTTACATGTATTTAATATTTCTCGGTTTTTCAATAGTATTGGCAGCATCAAAATCAAAAGGTGTAGATCCGTGGATAATAACTGAATTTCCAAGAATATTAGATAATTCAGGGATATTTGTAAATATACTAAATGTAAAACGAACAGCTGTATATGGTTCTATTGGTGGAAAATGTGGTGAACTGGTAACCATTTTATTAGCATTCATTAATTCATTTTACCTTAAACTATTTTGACTAATCAATTACATTTTACTGATTCAGTGTGTAGATATCTCTATTAGTACATACCAAGCTCTGAAAAAGGCGACTATGGAATTTATGAGTCTCACGTCTCAAGAATATGACCTGCTACTTAATAATGTACGCGAAGAGTTTGAGCGATATCAAACGATTATGGAACTGCATCGGTTTTGTGCACAAAAAATTATGATTGATATCGAATAGATTGATGATAAAGAATATGGGAAATAACCTTTAAAACCCTAAATACACATACGTAAATAAGGATATCTCTTTCATAAGATTTATAAATATAATTAATAATTGTAAAACCAATTTAATTAAACACATACGCAATTGCAAATAATATAATATATACGTACTCTTTTTGACTTTGATACAAGTAGTATTATAGATTGGAGATTTTATTCGATTAAGAACTGACTAACGAACTCGAAAGTCATTAGTGTGCCATAGCGATAGTGCATACTATTGCCATAGCGGTAGTGCATAGTGCATAGCGATAGTGCATACTATCGCTATGACGTCTAGTATAATTAGTTCACGTATTTCCCATTGCATGTATAAATCTTGGTGTTACAAAAAGGATTACAATTAATTACGTAATTGATTACGTGTACATATATAAATGATGACAAGTGAGTAAAAGTGATTACAAATGAATACAAATGATTACAAATTCAATTATTTGTGTTCCAATGTTTTGTTGCGGAAATAAGTGCGGTCATGAGTCGGAGACTCTGGATTGTGTAAAGATATAGGTGATGCACTTACCTCAGCTTTCGAATCAAAACCTGAGATGTGGATAATATACTCACTTTGATTTCTTTTTCATTTAATATAGTAAGAACCATTTCTGCATTGGCCGGCTATACCAAATACGTGCCCTTTACTATGCTCTTCCTCACATCCTGGACATATTCCCGAGTTTTTAAATTCATAAAATCGTTATATTCATCACAATGACGCAGGGATAAGTAAGGCTGCACTTTCAATACTGTATTGATATAGGGAGCACGGGAAGCGTACGGAATGACTGACGTGGTCTTTTTGTGTTGAGTAATTGTGGTACACTTACCTTGGCTTCTGATAATTTTGTAGAGCCGGAAGAGTCAGAGGTTTTAGATTCAGTAGATGTAGCACTTACCCGAGTTTCTGCAGTTATATGATTTTGGCGAACGGGCCGTCGTTGAAATTTCAGTCATGTGATATATATTCGACTCACAATTATGTTGTATTAAGCTGCTCAGTGGATTTGATCATTCAATTCTGAAATAGAATTTGCGCGCTATATGTTTTGATATACTTAATTTTACCTACACCTATCTTTTCGAATAATTTATATATCTTCATAGCCCTTTGAGTCTTTACTTAAAGTTTTACGTGAGATTTCTGAAGGTTGTAAATACATTTCTTTAGATCTTTTCTCACGAAGAATGGAAAGGTGCTCTAACATTTTATCATAAATTATACCTTTGGCTTTTTCTCACTAGTTTTGCTGTTACTCATTAACCTGAATTCCGAATTCTTTTCCATAACAAGCCCACCATAAGATTTCTTCCTGGTTAGCTTTTACAGCGCCGTATTCAGCATTAGTTACTTTATCAAATAATTGTGCCAAATCGAGTAATGGGGAGGGGGTTGTAGAACAATTTTGACGACGGGCCGTCGCTGAAATTTCGATTTCATGATTTTGTTCCAGAAGAATTAAATAATTCTTCCCTGAGTTTATCTGTCCCTTTTTCTTCTGAACATTCTTTTGCGGAGTGATACTGATCACTATTCTGTTCTGATCCAGCAGGCTCAGATAACGAAGTGTCTTGATTAACCAAAGATAAGTTTTGATCTCGAAGCTTTTTTCCCGGTTCTTCTCTCTTGTCACCCTACTAATATTTTCCATATTTGTTGAATCTACGAATTCATCGACCTTCTTATCTTCTAACGTTTTAGGCTTGATCCTAGATGTGACAGCAGTTGTATTTGTTATCCGTTTAGAACGATTCTCAATAGGTGACGGTGAGGTTACTGGTAATGGTGAACTGGTTGGAGAATGCGAAATATCTTGTGTGGAAGATGCTTCCTGTTCATTAATAATCACCCGGGTTTGCTTTTTAATTTCCTCGATATCATGCCTTAATTTTGCTACTTCAGCTTTAAACTCGATATTCTCAGCTTTTCGTTTGGCATTCTGTTCCATAATCTGTTTTAACTTCGTATTCTCGGCCTCAACCTCAGCATTCTCAGTCTTAACTTTGGCGTTCTCACCTGAGAGCACAGCATTTTCGCCCATGAGAAGCATTCTCATTCCCAAGCTCGGTAATCTGTCTTAATGAGTCGATTTCGGATGTCATTTTTGGTGATGCTTCGCAATCTAACATTTATATGAGACGCAGATTTATTTTTCCTCGCACCTATTCGGTAAAGAAAACTTTGACTGGCAATCAGGTAGTAGCAGTAGATATCAGATTAATCCATGCAAAGCAATAGCATGCATGGAACGAAAATCAGCATGTGTACTTGTAAGTTGTGTACGATACAGTGTTGTCAACTGGACATAGTCCAACACTTCGCCACTGGACCACTGGACTTAGTAATTTTGTAAGTCCAATATGGTCCAGTCCAGTAACTGCTGGTTACTGGACATAGTAACGTGATACGCATGCTCGGTTAACCGGCGGCGATCGAGTGGGAAAAATAAATGATTCAAATTGTCTTGCTGTCGTGTCGATCATTCTTGGGTCGTGGCGCCGATTTAAAGGCAAGCAACCATTGGGAATCACGATGATGAGCAATAAGCATAACACCCTAAATATCGAGTTCGAATTCGATGACGCTAATGCCGAATTGGGTTGCGTTGTTAGATGACGAGCCCGATTCTAGCCAAAATGTGTCAGATAATGATGAGGATGACAATGGATAGATTATATATGGCTCGCTATGGCATGTGAGAATTGCTCGTTGTCGTAATATTGTGTTTAGGAAATTTACCCGCAGATGTTTCAGAGAAAGTTATTCAATGCCTTTTCTAATTACAGTTGCTTTCGGTATAATTTGCTTTTGGACCCTGGAATCTAGCCGATTATGATGGTTAAAGCATGGAGAAAATTAATTTATTTTCCAAAGAACAAATGAAGACATGGCAAGGGAGGAATCGTTCGACCCCTAACCCGATTCACACCCATACCACACTGCATACAGCATACACATGTTAAAAAAAAGATGTGGGGCGAACCAATAAATGTTTTATTTTACAATCTGTGATGCAGTACAATTTTCCTTGATTTTATTAGATGTAAATGGTTACATATATTGCTTCTTTGAAAAGAATAACTACGTAATCCTGTCCTACCATTCTACTATATTATCCTGGTTACTTCCCTAGTCGTGCCCGTTTTGAGTTATTTTTCAATTCATCATCTTGTGTTTGTAGGACACGCACAATAAAGCAATCACATCTTTTGCACTCTGCATATCCCCAGTGAAATCGCAGGCATAGTCACAAGAGATTTCAACCGTTGGGTTTTCCGGAGAACCGTCCAACGAATGAAACGCCAAGTATATGCCGTCGTTACAATGCCGAATAAGGGTGGTGACCCAAAGTCCGTTTTGCCGAGCTTGAGCTTGCCTAACAATGACTGAAAATATGCATATAAAAATGATGGCGTTCCCTCTTTCGCACTGTGCAATTGCATAATATTTTGGGCTATTCCTTTAAGGATATCTTCCATTTCACTAGCACTGCAATTTGAAGGAGTCTCACCAAATAGTCAACAGGTCCATAACCGCGACTTCCATCAAGATCAGTTTCTACACTTAGTTGTGCTGTATCATTCGTATACCTTCTAATGTGCGCAACGGCGATTTCATGAAAACGGACACGTATTCGCGAACGGTTGCTTCATTATCATCGACTACTTTGTGGAATGCATACGGCGTTTCTCTGATCATATCAACAAGAGTTTCAACTCGTCATCGGTAAATGGCCTCTGGGAGAACACCAAGTTGAATTTTGGCACATCAGCAAAATTCTGGTGCAAAATATCCCGGAAGACTTCATGGATTCCCCATTCACCATATGCTTTTTTCCCTGTCACAAGTTGGAATTAGATGCTATGCTATTCTTCATTCTCAATTTCCAAACCAAGATAAAAAAATAAAACCTTGAATTTGGACTTGCAAGTCGAGAGTAATTTCGTTTTGGTCGTCTGCTTTAGTTCTAGCCACTTCGATGTTAAAATGGAACTCGTTCTCAATTTTCTCGTCTTATCCGCTGTTCCAAAATAGATGTCAGCTCAGCCGTTGCTAACTTCTCGAATCTTTTTTTGACGGCTTCTTTTAGCAAACCTAAGGAACCACTAGAATGTGGTATTCTGCATACGCCCTTGAACCCGCCATGGCTAAAGTTCACTTTAATTGCGAGAAGACAAATGAGTACTGGGCATTATAGGAAAAGGAAATGTAGGAAAAAACGTTTTTACTTACTGACTTAATTTGACAACGGGTATCGGACGACGAGTGGTGATGTAGCGGGTGTAGTCAGACTTTCAAGAGAGACATCCGTCGGAAGAAGTTTACTTTCTTAGAAAACCTAGGAAGTTACGGAAAGATATTCATGTGAAAATTAAGGGTCAAAAATTATGAATCGAAGGATTTAATGTAACTATGGTAATATTATTTCCCCCTTTTAAAAACCGGGCTCCTGCGAAGAGCTAAACTGATTTAGGGATTTCTTCCTCGTAGCGTCTATGTTATGTGCCTGATGGTTGATTGTCTCTTTGGTAATTATCATTTACTCAATTTATTAGTTTCGTCGTTTACTGTTACTATCACCCATCATTGCCACTATTGTTGTGTTGTTTTTCGCCTATTATGCTCTTTTTGTCCGTTTCTCTAGCCCCATCTACTATTTTCTCTTTGAATCCGTTAACCGTTCCTTTCAATAGTCGGTCGGCTTGATTCCATAGTCGATAAGCACCATTTCCATAATCATCGTGTATATAATACCATTTCTTATTCCATTGCAGTACGAATTTACTTTCGTACAGAACATGTTGCTTCATGTCGTAATATTTATTTTGAACTTATATTTTAATATTTGAACTTATTATAGCTAATTTAGTCAATCACAATATGATTTACTTTATATTAACTAATTATACTTAACATTTCAACTCTAAATTATTAATTCGACTAGGTTTATATCTAAAAATCAGTTAACTTAATTAATTAATAGTACAGTATTCAAATTTGATAATTTAGTCATACGATAATATAATATTATATACATGTATATATAAAAAGAATTTTCTTTTACAGTAATCTCATATACGTAGAGTGCTCGTCAGAAGTAACCTACCCTCTATAACTTTCCGTAGATCATGTGTAATGTACCAAAATTTTCCAAACACAAAGAACATTACAAACGCTAATTATTGATACTTTTTTATAGATTGGTAGAGCTTCTATATTGTGTATTGTATAAACTTTCATGAATCGTTCACTTTAGGACATAATATCTCGACGTCTAATGACCCGATTTGAGCAAAAATACCACCATTTGATTTGTCTAGATTAGAAAAATTGGATCACTAGACGTCGAGATATTATCGTTATGTCCTAAAGTGACCGATTCATATTTGTCGATCAATTTTGATCGCCAAAAAAATGAATTGATCAATTTAGGATGTAACGGTAATATTTTGATCTCCAGTGATCTGATTCGAACAAAGATAATACCATTCGATTTGTCTAGTCAAAACGAATCGAATGGTATTATTTTGTTCGAATCAGATCACTGGCGATCGAGATAACACGTCCTAAATTGGCTGATAAATTTTTGTTCTCCAAAAAAAGAATCTGACGTAATATTTCGACGGCCAGTGATCCGATTTGAACAAAAATATTACCATTTGATTCACATCGACTGGACGAATCGAATGGTTGTATGTTTATTCAAATCGGATCACTGAACGTCAAGAATTAGATTATTGAATGTTGAGATGTGTGTTATGAAAAACCGATTATACATGTACGTATTTTGGACGTGAACATACAACACCCGATATAGAAGCTTTAAAAGGTATCAACGATCAGTATTTGTAATGTTCTTTGTGCTCGGAAAATTTTAGTACATTACACATAATCTACGGAAAGTTATGGCAGGTAGGTTACTTCTGACGAGCACTGTAGATTAAGTAAATATATAGAGTCAACTAAGTTGATTCTTTAATAGACTAAATCGACTAAATTGACTAATACTGAATTGATTTTAATAGCTCAGAGAAATTTATTTCAATTTTTGAACTAGCAAAAATTTGGATAAATTACTGTTAAACAATTCTATATTTCGAAATGATCATTTAAGAAATTTTTTTTAGCATAATAAATCAAGTTATATCTTGGATTATAAATTCTGTTCTCAATAATAATCTTTGTATTAAAGTAACAAAAAACTAATAACTATTTCAATTTACTATTTTAGATTATCTTCTATATTAAAAATATTATAAAATTTACATGAAATAATGAAGCTCATATTAAAATAAAATAATAAAAAAATTAGATATCAATAAATAATTTCAAAAGAATTTATTTATTTTGTAAATTTTATATAACAATCTTTTAGTTTCATGAATTCTTTTGTTAATATCATTTTTCTTTTTATAATAATAGGCTAAATTCTGAACAATATTTTTAATCTTGTTCAAATAATTAATATATATATAAGAAATCATATTTCATATATGCTTTATAAAAAAAATAATCAGGCAAAAATTCAGTTTTTTTAGTTCAAAAACTTATAAATGTATAATACATGATATCTAATCACATTGTTACTATGTTGCAGTACTGAAATTCTATCTGTCACATCAACAATCTGTATCAAATTTTGTCAATAACCAATAATAATGCACAATTTTTTAATCAGCATTCAATAAAAATATAGAAATTTTTAATCAAACTGATAAAACAAATCTGATGCAAGTAAAGAAAAAATACAAGAAATAGTATCTAAATCTAGCTTAAAGTACTAATTAAAAATATTAAAAAAATTAATTTTATTTATAATTTGTATTTTATCTTTAATTTTAATCCTAATTTTTTTAGTATTAACTAATATCACAGTAAAATTTATTCATATCAAATTAGGATGTTTACATCTATTACTTTATGACACATATTCGTCAAGAATATCAACACGATTCGAGGATAATTCTCATTACTAGATTATTGGGAATCGAAATCCCGAAAGCTGTCATGATCGCTAGTGATAACCCTAGCCATGGTGAAAAAAAATTCTCGAATATGTGATTCCGATCCATCCGATGCATGCCGATATGCCCCTTAAAATTGATTGACCAATCAAATCGCAAGATCAACGTGTAACCCAAAAATTTCAAACAAATGCTAATTTTTGAAAAATAGCTTGTATCTCAAAATCCTACCTATGAAACTGCCTTTTGTGTTATAACAAAAAAAATGTTCCTTGTAAATTTCACTATTTTACATCTTGATCCACATAACTCTAACTCTGACCCTTAACCCTTAACCAAAACTCTAATTAGAAGATCGGATGGATCGGAATCACGTGTTTCGAGAATTTTTTTCGCCATGACTAGGGTTTTATAGTATTGGTGGAACATGCTCTGATGACGTAGGTATCCGTGGAACATTTTTATTTTATTGTCTCAGATGAAGGTCTGTCCGATTTTCCGGTCGATCAAAGTATCATGAAAGCTATGAAGCAGAGAATAACTTTAACGCGCAAATTGATCAGGAGGAACATAGTTGTTAGTGTAATGATTGGTCAAAAGAAGTAGCACAAGATCTAGATGTGGGCGAAGCTAGTGTTTATTCCTTTGTTTTAAAAAAAAAGAAAAATACGTGTCAATTGATAATTTAGTTTAAATAATAAACGAAGCAACAATAAAAACGATAATGATGATGGCAACAACATCAATACCAAAAAACTTTAAGCAAAAATAAAATCAATGAAAGCACAACTTCAATCGTTAGTGAATCCTTGCTTGGGGTTAAGCAAACAAAGGCAATGGAAGACTTGAAATCAAAAAAGATTAGGAAAAAAGGAATAAATTTTGGTACTAATAATAATCATCAACATCGAAATAATATTAAAAGTAAAAATCTCAGTATCAATAGAAAATCGAAAAAATAAATATTGAACTATTATTTATTTTTCAGTTCGATAGGCATGTAACTAAAGTTACATGCCAATCATCAAATCTCCAAATTTGATAAGTTTTTAGTAAAATTTTAGCATAGTCTTGGCATTGTAAACCTGTACATATTAAATTGAAACAAATTGACAAACAATTAATTAGATCAATTAGCTCACAAAATTAATTACCATTAACCGGATGTGCAGAATTTTTCAGATAGAACATGATGACATTTATTATATATAAAAAATATAAAATATGTCATCAAAATAATAAACCAATAGTTTTTCGATCTGAAAATCCCACAATTTTGCAAAGTGGAGGGTAAAATGGGGAAAATGTATTTAAGGAGAACAGAGAGATTTTTGCAATTTTATAGATCGATCTTTAATCATAATGATATCATTGAGAATGATGATTGATGAGGATGGTGATGATGATTGAAGATGATTGAGGATGAGGATGATGATGATGATTGATTGAGGATGAGGACTAGGGTGTCCAGTTTACTGCATTTGCAGAATCTGCAAAATCCATATGGTTTATAATGTGATTTGTGTACATAATTTGCATAATGATAATAATGATGTGGATTTTATAACTTGCATTATAAAAATGATCTATGCGAAATTCTAAACAATGTATAACTAATAATTAAAAAGTAATGATTATTAAATTTTAAATAAGTTTTTTTAAATTTGATCATCATAATGAACTTGCACATTTTTCAGTTTGCAGAATTAATTGCAGTAAATTACTGCGCAGAAATGCAGTAAACTGGACACTCTAATGAGGACCACGATGATGATTCTTTTCTTCTTTCTTTTTACTTTTTTTTTATTTTATCTTCTTTCTTTTCTTTTTCTTTTCTTCCTTTTCTTTCGTTCTTTCAGATCAGTCAGATGATTTCTGCAGTGTTTGAAGTAAATTCTGCTAATATTAATTTCAGACATCAATCGATAATTTTATTTCAATTTATCGTATGTATAAAAATGAGGTAGAACGCATAAAAGAATCCTTTTATAACAGAGAAAGAGCTTCTATTTGTGTTTGCGCGTAAATATTTAAGACATCAAATCGACATTAAGAGTATAACGACGACGTCTGTGTACCAGATATGAAAGCGTTAATATATTTGCAGGGTGATTCACAAGTTTTTCTGTGAATTTTTCTCGGCCCACTGATATTTGTAGCTGTGTTTTAGTATCGGTATTAGATACAAATTATCATGTGATTTGCTTTGAATTATAAACACAATTTATCATTTGTAATCGTGCATAATGCCTTAAAAATCTTTCCAAAACCTCTTTTAGTAAGATATTCAACATCAAAAGGGATCCATTCAAAAGATTTATAGATTTCCTTGCATTTTCTCGTTTAATTAATAATAGTTCCTTTTCAGGATGTATAAATTGCATTGTTTTACTTTTGACTATGTTTTATTATTAATTTACCATTTTGAATCAAAAGATAATTCTTTATTTCTGCAAATGACCTATAATTTTTCATCGATTGTAAAATCCAGCCTTCTCTTCTATTATCTGTTTATACAATGGAATCGGGGAGATATTTGAATGAATTTGGATACTTGAAACTACGTCATGGTAAAGACACTTCAACTCAAGATTGATTATGCATGTGCCCGGCTGAATGTTCAGCACATTCACAAATTTATCGTGGGTGTCAAATTCGAACTAACAATAAATCATCCACATTAGAAACTTTGACACGTTGATCAAAAAGATTATTAGGGTTGTACCTCAGTTCTAGCATCAAAAGGTCAGTTTCTTGTTACTTTATCCAAAACGTGATTGATTGTTTCCGAATATGCGACCTCAATAATCAAGTTCATTCTGAAATCGCGAAAACGTGAATCTTAGCTTCGAAGCAATAGAAAGAAAAGTTACCTTCCATCACTCCCGTTAGTGCAGGCACTCGCGATTTGTGGGCGAAACGACATGTCGGCTTCTTTTCCAGAATTATCACTACGTGCTTCTCTTCTTTAAGAAATAAATATTAGTTCAATGTTATAAACATAGACCTGAGAAAGTTAATAATTGACACTTACGAGTTGATCCAAGATTTATAAACCCAGCATTGGTCACATCAACACTAATGCAAACCCCCACTTATCATTGTAGAAATCGCACAAATAGTGACTTTATACGGTTTTGGTCGAAGTTCATAAATCATGACTTTATAATCGGACTATTCCCATAGATCATGGACGTTAAGCTCGTCAGTACGACGTTCGTATTCTCCTCTAATGTAACTCCGTCAGCGAGCGTGTATGGGAATCTTGATATAATCAGCGAAAATTAGCTTATATCAGTCACTAGTTCATAAAATATTTGGTCAACGTCAGAACAAGCAGGAACAGAATATACGTGGCCTCTTCCATTTTGCTTGTGGGTGTATGTTGCCCTCCTTTCACCATAGCTGGCGGAGTTTTTATTAATTCATCAACAGGCTTAGGGACAACACTAATGTTGTCATTACAAAGGACAGGCTCTAGTTAGCCAAAAATTAGAAGTGAAGTACCAGTTGCAATATCCATTCGAGGTAGCAGTGCTCTCTGTTTATGATAAAATATGCTATTATTATCTTTCCCTCATGAGATTTGCACGTTGACCTTTCGATTTGATTGGTGCATAATTTTAAGGTGGATATCAGATGGTCGGCATCGGGATCGGAGATCACGGATTCTGTAAATTTTTTTGCCACCACTAGTCCTCATCCTCAATCAATCATCATCATCATCCTCATCCTCAATCATCTTCAATCATCATCACCATCCTCATCA